AGAGCTCACATTACTTTAGAACATTTATTTATTTATTTAGAGATGGACTCTCGCTCTATTGCCCAGGCTGGAGTGCATTGGTGCAATCTCGGCTCACTGCAGCCTCCACCTCCTGGGTTCAAGCAATTCTCCTGCCTCAGCCTCCCGAGTAGCTGAGACTACAGGTGGATGCTGCCACACCTGGCTATTTTTTATACTTTTTAGTAGAGATGGAGTTTCACCATGTTGGCTAGGATGGTCTTGATCTCCTGACCTCGTGATCCGCCTGCCTTGGCCTCCCAAAGTGCTGGGATTACAAGTATGAGCAACTGCACTGGCCTTTATTTTTTTGAGACATGGTCTCACTTTGTCGCCCAGGCTGGAGTAAGTGCAGTGGCGCAATCTCAGCTGATTGCAACCTCTGCGTCCTGGGTTCAAGTGATTCTCTCACCTCAGCCTCCCAAATAGCTAGGACTACAGGTGCATGCCACCATGCCTGGCTAATTTTTGGGCAGAAATGGGTATCACTGTGTTGGCCAGGCTGGTCTTGAACTCCTGACCTCAAGTGGTCTGCCTGCCTTGGCCTTCCAAAGTGCTGGGATTACAGGTGTGAACCACTGCACCTGGCCTAGAACTTACATTTTAATGCCAGTTTTTCTTATAACTGTTTATAGATTAGAACATGTTGTTTACATTTTTTATTTGTGATAGGCACTATGATTGTCAACCCCACTTTATGATGAAGGAAAAGGGATTCAGGAAGCCTCTAAGTTATGAAGAGGTGAAGTGCTAGCTCAGATCTACTGGTTTTGAAGCCTGAGATGTTTCCACTATTCCCTTATTTTTATTAATAATAATTTGTCATGTGATAGTGGCTCTCAAACTTTTCATTCTGGAGGTGTTCCTGTGCTCCATCTTATTTTATATTCTCCAGCTCTTCTCTGGATAGGAACAGAAACCCTCAATAACATATCTTTGCATGCATGTGTACACATACAGTCTAGGATATTCAGGTTTTTTATTACAATCAGGTTTGCGACAATTTTTGCATAGTTTTTGACTAGGCATGTAGTTTTTTATGGATTGCTTTATTGCGGGTGTGTGTGTGTGTGTGTACGTATATTTTCCTCCCAACATTTTATTAAGAAAATTTGCAAGAATATAGAAAAATCAAACGAATTGTACTGTGAACACCCATAAACCCACCGCTTGATTCTATAATTGTTAATAGTTTGCTATTTTTGCTTTTACGTGGGTCATTTTGCATTGTATGCTTCAGAATAGAATACTTTGTAAGTAGTAATTTACATTTTTCTTAGAGATCTTTGCCAAGGAATTTAATTTTAGATGCTTGTTCACACACATGTCCTGTTATATTATTATCTCAGAACGAAGCATTAGAAAGATCAAGTCTACTTTTATGATTTGGAACTATCTGGTTTTTGTAATTTTAGGATGGAGAACTAAATTGACAGTATTCGACTGTACTTGGGCAGTCTAAAGCACTTGAGAAACCTTACATAGTTTGAAACCCCAAGTGACTTTGTAAATTCATAGAACTAAAGTCATTTGGGTGACCTCAGTAATAAAAAATGAAATCAGACAATGCAAACCCATTGGAAATATCTGAGGAATGTTGGAGATAATTCATGTGTACAGGCGGTTCTGGCAGAGAGGGATCTACATATAAAATGTATCAAAAGGTCAGAATTGTTTTAAAAACACCTAGAAGCAGGAATTATTAGCCAGGCGCAGTGGCTCACGCCTGTAATCCCAGCACTTTGGGAGGCTGAGGCAGGCACATCACCTGAGATCAGGAGTTCAGAACCAGCCTGGCCAACATGGTGAAACCCTCTCTCTTCTAAAAATACAAAAATTAGCCAGGTGTGCTGGTGCAACCCTGTAATCCCAGCTATTTGGGAGGCTGAGGCACGAGAATCGCTTGAACCTCGGAGGTGGAGGTTGCAGTGAGCCAAGATTGCGCCACTGCACTCCAACCTCGGCAACAGAGTGAGACTCCATCGCAAAAAAAAAAAAAAAAAAAAAAAAAAAAAAAAAAAAAAAAAAGAAAGAAAGAAAGGACATGCAAGTATTTTCATGCAATTAATTGTTCTTCTGATTTTTTTTTTTTTTTTGCTTTCTGATACATATCTCTTTAAATTTCCTTCTGCATAATTTTTCTTCCGTTTGTATCATGGAGTCCCCTTTCTGTCTTAAGTCAGTGTGGAAGGCTTTCTTTTACACTGTCTGTTATTTTATTTTATTTTCCCTATTTTAGTAACAGAAATGAGGCTGCTGGGTCTGACAGAAGCAGAGCTCATGATTTAATAGTATTCATTCATTCTTCTGTATTTACCTAACACACACACACCCACACACACCCACACACCAAATTAACATTTTGGGGATTCCCATGTTTTGTGTTATGTGACTTGGCCTCCGTGGCAACCTCTGACTTCAGTCCCGGGGCTTGTGGTTACTTGGGTGGTACGTCGTTGTGCTGCTGCCTGTTGCTGGCCAGCTCTGTGACCTTTTGCAAGTCACTTAAGGTCTCTGTTTATCTGTAATTCGAGAGGATTGGAATAGGGAATTTTGCAGGTTTATCCCTCCGGCACTAAAAATTCCCTGTTCTGTGTTCAGGTTAACATTTTTTTCCTCCCTCTGCACTTCTCCCCTGCCCCTGCCCTGACTTAAATGTTTTGTGGCCAGGCTAATTTTTGTAACTATTACACTGATGGTCTTAAATAATGGCTCTTATTATTGGCCAATTAAGATTAGAAAGCATGGCCAGGCATGGTGGCTCACACCTATAATCCCAGCACTTTGGGAGGCCAAGGTGGGCGGATCATGAGGTCAGGAGATCGAGACCATCCTGGCTAACACAGTGAAACCCCGTCTCTACCAAAAATACAAAAAATTAGCCAAGCGTGGTGGCGGGTGCCTGTAGTCCCAGCTACTAGGGAGGCTGAGGCAGGAGAATCGCTTGAATCCGGGAGGCAGAGGTTTCAGTTAGCCGAGAACGTGCCACTGCACTCCAGCCTGGGTGACAGAGAGAGACTCCATCTCAAAAAAAAAAAAAAAAAAAAAAAAAAGATTAGAAAGCGTACCTTCAAGTGTGTAATAACTTCATATGGAAAAAGATTGTGTGTGTGCCTACATGGGTAGATGGATGGATGTGTATGTAAAAATACAGTTTTCATCCAGATAGAAAATTAAAGGCTTATCTGTCTATGGTAGAGTCTGGTTTATAATATTAGGTAAAAATCTTTCTGTTGGTTATGTAGATTCTTCTTCTTTTGAGAGAGGGTCTCACTCTGTCACCCAGGCTGGAGTGCAGTGGTGCAGTCATGGCTCACTGCAGCCTTGACCTCCCCAGGCTCAAGAGATCCTTCCACCTCAGCTCCCAAGTAACTGGGAGTACTGGCATGCGCTACCACGCCTGGCTAATTAAAAAAAAATTTTTTTTGAGATAGTGTCTTGCTCTGTCTCCCAGGCTGTAGTGCAGTGACACGATATTGGCTCACTGCAGCCTCTGTCTCCCGAGTTCTCCTACCTCAGCCTCATGAGTAGCTGAGACTATAGGTGCCTGCCACCACGCCCGGCTAATGTTTGTATTTTTAATAGAGATGAGGTTTCACCGTGTTGGCTGGGCTGATCTCACACTCCTGGCCTCAAGTGATCCGCCTGCCTTGGCCTCTCAAAAGCTGGAATTGCAGGCGTGAGCTATCGCCCCTGGCCCTGGATAATTTTTTTATTTTTATTTTTTGTAGAGACAGGGTCTCCCTATGTTGTCCAGGGTGGTCTTAAACTCCTGGGCTCAAGTGATCTGCCCACATCAGCCTCCCTTGTAGCTTGGACCACCGGAATGCACTCCCAGGCTTGGCTAATTTTTAAATTTTTTCCTGGTAGCTAATTGTTTAATTTTTTTCTGGTAGAGACAGTCTCCCTATGTTGCCCAGGGTGGTCTCCCGGGCTCAAGTGATCCTCCCACCTCAGCCTTCCAAAGTGTTGGAATCACAGGCATGAGCCACCGTGCCTAGCCTCTGTTATTTTTAAAATGATGAAGATATTACCTTAAAAATCTCTTGCCACATGTTTGTCCAGGATAATTTGTGTATTCACATACTTAGAATATGTACATTTTGAAAACCTTTGATTAAGTGGTTTTCTTCTATAAAATAAAGGTGTGTGATCCTGTTCTTCTATTCATCGTCCCCCCTCCACAATAACATAAAAGATCTGAAAATGCTGCTTTACCTTTTGGGTATTTTTGTTTGTTTTATTTTTATTTTTTTTGAGAGGGAGTCTCTCTGTCTCCCAGGCTGGAGTGCAGTGGTGTGATCTTGGCTCACTGTAACCTCTACCCCCCGGGTTCAAGCAATTCTCCTGTCTCAGCCTCCTGAGTAGCTGAGATTACAGGCATGTGCCACCACACCTGGCTAATTTTTGTAGTTTTAGTAGAGACAGGGTTTCACCATATTGGTCAGGCTGCTTCCAAACTCCTGACCTCAGGTGATCTAACCTCCTAGGCCTCCCAAAGTGCTGGGATTACAGGCGTAAGCCACCATGCCCAGCCTTTTTGGGGTATTTTTAAAATGTAAGGTCTTTCATCAGAGGATATAGCAAGACCCCAAAACACTCTGAATTTCTGCTGTATATAACTTTTATTTAAGATAATTTAATGGTTCCTTTTTAATAAAAAAGCACCACATTGGGGTAACAAGGACTTCCAATGTACAAGACCGTGGTTCAGCTAACTTAAAAATGAAAGAACGCCAGCAAGGAACACAAGGAAGTTTATACCCGATATTTTGCAAATCATGATATTATTCTTAAGGGCCTCTCTCGAGGCAGGATTTTTATGATCATAACATTCCAGCTGTGGTTTTGGAGGCAGAATGTTTACTACTGCTCTAAACGCAAGGATGGTAGGTGTGTATTCTTACTGCTAAAGGGCTTAAAAAAGAAGCTGAGGCTCCCTTCAAGTGAGTAAACCTTTATTCGGCTGCCTTGGGAGCCGCGTTCCTATGGAACTTCGGTGGTAATTATGGAATGCAGGCCCAACAACAGCCCAGTCATGGGCGAGCCTGGCCTCTCTGAGGCATGATGGCAGGCTGTCCCGGCTAATGGCTTCAGGCAGCCCATGGAAAACCACTTTCTGGTTAAGTCTGCATCATACTGTTCCACCAATGGAAAAAATTGAACATGATGAGGGTGTGTAGCTAGCAGACAAAAATATATCCAGCATTGCACAGGATCTGTTTTTAGCTCTCAACGGCTGAGCATTTGAAGTGTTAGACACTGTTTCCTGGCTTACCATGAGCAGAAAGAAGAGTGAGTTTGTGGATGTGTATATAGAATCTAGCTTCGTGAAACTTTTCTTATTAACAAAAAGACCCTGAGAAATACTGGCTACATCCAAAGTTCTGGCAAAGGTAAGGTTATAAATGTCTACTTGCCCTCTTCTGGAGTTGAGATGTAATTTTATAAGTGAGATAAAAATGTTTCTTAAAATCCTCCCACCGGCAGTGTGTAAGTGCTGACTTATTTTTGTTTGACATTATTTTGTACTCAGGCAGCACACGTTGCTGTGCATAAGGGAATTGTTACCTTTAAATTTGAGTGTCTATGTGCTTTCAAACACCTATTGGTGATTTATTGCAGTTGCCTGCCCTGTTTTATTAATTAACTCTCCAAAAGTTGTACGTATTGTATGGATTTATTTTTCCTGATGGTCTCAAGAAAGTACCACTTCTCAGTCTGATCATGTTAAAGCATTGATGACTATTACTTTACCAGTTAATTTTTTCAGGGTAGAAAGGGAAATTAAAATGTGGCAGAGATTGTATTTTGCAGTTTTTGGGTTATTATATAATCTCATCAGGGCTTCATTTTTAGCTGAGTGGGCTATTTGGCTTAAGAGTTTCTTTTCAAACTTGTAATTTGACGTTTGCTGTTTAGTATCGTTTGTCTTTTTGTCTTAAACTTGATGAAAAAGAAATGGAATCCCTTGTAATCTTGGGAGGGGGGTACTTGCTTAAGAGGAGTGATTGATTCATATTCTAGTCCATTAGAGGCTTCTCATTCATTAGGGTGTTTGAAACACCAGAAGCACAAGTACTGCTGGATGTCTAGTGTGTGCTCATTGGCAGGGGCTGAGATCCCTGGCTTTGGTGTAGTTCTTCCTTGGCTTTACATTAATTTGGCCAAGCATGTAATTCACAGAAAATTGGTAGGTGGAAAGACAGAAATAGGAAGCTGTATTGAAGTCATTGTAACTTACAGGATTATTTATAGAATTTCTGGAAAGTAAGGGTACGGGTGAACAGCTGCTGGAGTTTCTCCTAACATGTTTAAACATTTTGTTGTGGCCTTTCGTCACACTTAGGGATTCTAAAATTTTATACTTTCAGCATTACGAGGTTGTGAATTATTTTCAGGCAGGCTACGTGGGTTCGTTTTCAGCTGTGTTAGGTCAGGGCTGTCATCTCCATCGGTGTAGTGCGCACCCCCCATGTGTTCACTTCCTTTACAGACACGTCTTTAGGGATGGAGGAATGTGAGTGTGGTTCAGGCGGGTTACAGTTCATGGAAAGATTGGTCACATTTTATTGATGACTTTTCCTTTTAATCTAAAAAATGCTGCTCTGACAGGGCCAGCAAGCATTGAGAGCAGGAACAGAGCACTGGCCTCCTCCTTCTCCGGTCACATTAACACTTGTCACCTACTTTGATTTTTGCCAGAGCTTGTGGACAGAAAGTGAAGTCTGTTGAAGAACTTAACGACTCAAATTCATACTGACCAGACCGTAAATAGTGTTTTGAATGCAAGCAGATAACACCTTTTGTCAATACTTTAGTGCAGAGGGAGTGACTTTGCAAAGCCCTCTCATTAGATCTGGCCTGCAGGAAGGATGCCTGGAAATGCAAGATAAGCTTAGGCTCCTTGTGAAGAGATTAGTTTTCCAGTGGGTAAGTGGGTCCTTCACTTACCCACTAAGTAAAACAGATGATTCTGTCTTGGTGGTCTGAGATTGTGTTTGAGCAGAGCCATGCTTTCTTTTGCAAAATTAGTTAAGGGTCTTTGCAGCTTCTTCCCACCAGAAGTATTGAATAAAAAACCACAGAGCTTAAATATCTGATGGGGCACTTTACTATATGTGTATGTGCCTCTCGGTTTCATTGTGTAAGATTCACTTATGTGATTATAATAAATTAGGTTAGTGAGATCCCTTAGTTCAACTTGTTCTTTTTTTTTTTTTTTTTGAGACAGAGTCTTGCTGTGTCGCCCAGGCAGGAGTGCACTGGCGTGATCTCCGTTCACTGCAAGCTCTGCCTCCCAGGTTCACGCCATTCTCCTGCCTCAGCCTCCTGAGTAGCTGGGACTGCAGGTGCCCACCACCACACCCGGCTAATTTTTTGTGTGTTTTTAGTAGAGACGGGGTTTCACCATGTTAGCTAGGATGGTCTCGATCTCCTGACCTCATGATTCGCCCACTTCAGCCTCCCAAAGTGCTAGGATTACAGGTGTGAGCCACTGCGCCTGGCCTTCAACTTTTAGATTTAAAAAAATATGGGCCATGAAGAACAATGTCTATTTGGATATTTTTTAAAGGAATAATTCGCATCTTTTTTTTGAAATTAAGTGTGCCTTCTACGTGAAAGTAATAACAGCTTTACTAGAAGGGCTAGAAAAAAGATAAAGGTATGGAATAGAAAGAAATAGCAGCACTATTAAAGATAGTAAAAAGTAGTAATAATGGTAGTAGATAAACCTGAATGTCTGACTGTTGAATACTAATAACAGGGTGGAATATCTTTTTATTACTCAGTTCTACTTAAAACAGGCTTACAAATATCAGGAGGCTTCAACGTCAGTGTCTCAGGAAACATATCGAACACTCATTTTTATGGTCTTTATAGTCGATAGTATTGTAGAGACAGAACATTAGAGCTGAAAATGGACCTCAGGCAATTTTTCAAAGGAGACAATTGAAGAAGCACAGAACTGAAGCGACTTGTCTGAAGCCATAAAGATGGTTAGTTACCCAGTTGGAAAGAAATTCCAGGTATCCTGTTAGTCATTTTCTTACTCTACCTGTTCCTTAATTGGGGAAACTTTGGCACATCCTGATGCATACATATGTGTGCATATATCTACAGACAAATGCACATACTTTTTTTTTTTTTTTTTTTTAAGAGACAGAGTCTCACGCTGTCACCCAGGCTGGAGTGCAGTGGTGTAATCTCAGCTCACTGCAACTTTCACCTCTGGGTTCAAGCGATTCTCCTGCCTCAGCCTCCCTAGTAGCTGGGATTGCAAGCACCTGCCACTACGCCTGGCTAATTTTTTTTTTTGTATTTTTAGTAGAGATGGGGTTTCACCATGTTGACCAGGCTGGTCTCGAACTCCTGATCTCAAGTGATCCACCCGCCTTGAACTCCCAAAGTATTAGGATTACAGGCGTGAGTCACCACGCCCAGCCTACATGCACATACATTTCCTTTCCTCCCCTCGTCCATCCTTCCTTCTTCTTTTCCTCTTTTTTTTGGTTCTTTCTTTCATCTGTTTACTTACCTGTTTACCAAACGTGCTTGGTACCCTGTCTGTTGGTTTGGTTTACCGGACTGTTTAAAGCTCTAGTAGAGAAAAGGGCTTTGCTTTTCTCATAGCCTGCTGAAATTCAAAGCCGTACACTCAGTCTGTGACCATCAGCTCTCTGACTGTCGCCCTAACCTATGTGATAAGGCGGCTTGGATTAGACTTAATCTGCCAGTGTCTTCCTGTTTCAGTCTTAGATTGGTTTTGTTTGGTTTATAGTCACATTCCAGTAGAAGACAGTTTAGGTTTTCTTACTTCTTTGCCTTACAAAAAAGAAGCCCTGGACAGGAACAGAAACACAGCAGATGAGGCCTGGCTTTAGTGCCAAGGTGATGCACTTTTGGAAAAGTAAACTTTACACAAAAAGTGATAGACCAAGTTATCATTTACACTTAAGGAAAGGGATGCGGTGGGTCCCACAGATAATGTCGGGATGAAGTTGATTCAGGGTGTTCCTAGGACTTGAATAAAGGTTAAAAAATCCTGGGTGTGGTTCAAGTACTGGCAAGTGAGAATAATCCGTATCCTGCCTCTGTACTTGACCCTGACCCGTCTCTATAGTCGCAGAATTGCTGGAGTCGGATTTCTGAAATGGAGATGTGAAGAAGGGCTAAGGAGAGATGGAGTTTGCAAGCTTTTAAAGACAAAAGCTAGAATCCATATGATTAAAGGCAATGAGAAGAAACCAAGTGGAGAGAATAAAGATAGACTTGTTTTCAGGTTGCCCTTGGCCACCCCTGGAAGGTGGAAAAAGGCATCTTAAAGACAAGTGAAAGTAAGCTTTATACACAGACACAGTAGTGAACCAAGGAAACTCATGACATGAGGAGGCACTGGAGAGTAAAGCATTTCATGGAAAGTCCATACATTCTTGGAATACGTGTACACACACACTCACACACACACACACACACACACACACTCCATTGAAAATTGGTAGGATGATCACAAATGTACCCAAACAGCCAGACAAGTTAACTATAAAACAACAATAATAACAAGACCCCTGAAATAACAGGAAACTAACAGTAACCGTCACTTAGCTTTTTAAAAAATGTCACAGGGGGAAAAATAGAAACGACAAGACAACACAGTGACATGCAGGTAATCAAGGAGTTTCTCACTGGAGCTCAAGCTCCTGTATCCTGGCACCCTACTGCATGCATGTGATGTTGGTGCCTCTCAAACGTTTCTGAAGTTTCTGTGATAGGAGGGGCAGTTCCTATAGAGCCACCTCCTCTTGTGCGTGTGATTCCTCTCCCTTTGACCCATTCTAGGACATTTTAGGAATAGTCCCTCTTTCTACACCAAATCACATTTTCCCTTGAATTCTCATTAGTGTGCTGGAATTTTTCCTGAAGATACACACATAGACATCAAATGAAGCTCTCTTGATCTCTCTGTCTTTCCCACTAGCATCTGATTCCTCTCTGCTCCCCGTTATTGTAAAACTGTTAGAATGAGCTGTCTGTATTCACTCCCTTCAGTTTCATGGACCTCATCCTCAAACTCAATCCAGTCCATCTTTCTCCACCCCACTCTGCCCTTGTCCTGTTCACAGGGACCTGCATAATGCCAGACTTACCTACTAAATGCAGTGCTTGTTCTGGTTTTTGTTATTTGAATCAGAAACATTTGACATGGTGGCTCAGTCTTCTCCCTGAAATCCTTTTCCCGATTGTCTTTAGATGCCACACACTCTCTTGGTTTCCTCTTTTTTTTTTTTTTTCTGAGACGGAGTCTCGCTCTGTTGCCCAGGTTGGACTACAGTGACGCAATCTTGGCTCACTGCAACCTCCGCCTCCCAGGTTCAAGTGATTCTCCTGCCTCAGC